AAGTGATTTTTTACCCTATCTAAAACCCGGATACAAAAGACTTTATCCAGAAAATTCTTCAAATTTGGAGTTCAAAGTTTACGTGCAGGGTGAAAAAATTGGCAATAAAAGTCCAACCTTTTTAAATCATATATTTGTAAATGAGGTAAAAGGTGTAGTAGCGATTCGTAGAATCAATGCTAACAAGATTGCGGTGGTGTTCAAGCAGTATAATACTGCTAATAATTTTATAAGTAACTCTTCATTTCTGGAGAAGTACAACTTTAAGGCGTTCATACCAGCGGCAGACATAGAAAGAACAGGAATTATCCGATACGTACCCACAGACTTATCTAACAAGGAGCTTTACTCAAAGCTAGAGTCGGAGTATGAAATAATTGCAGTCCGACGATTCACCAAAAAGGTTGGACAAGAACGGGTACCACTTCATACAGTGAGCATTACCTTTCTGTCCAGTTCTTTACCACAAAATGTACAATATGACTTATTCTCTTACCGCATTTTTGACTATATCCCTCCTCTACAACAATGTTACCGTTGCTTCAAATTTAACCACTCAGCCAAAATATGTAATGGCAAACAAAAATGTAGCATTTGTGCTGGGGACCACTCATATAGAGAGTGTGATAACCCCTCAGCAATCTGCTGTGCTAATTGCGGTGGACCACATTTAGCAATTTCAAAGGCATGCGAAATCAAGTTAAAAAAGATAATGGAAAAAAAGGAACGTATTACTTACGCTAGTAAGGCTGAAACTAAACTTAATGTGACTCAGGGAGATTTCCCACCATTGCGCAAACCAAGACCTCAGGTCAATGTAAATAAAAATTCTGTTGTAAATAAAAATGTAAATTCTGCACCTATAAATAATGTACCTGTAAATACTGAACCTAAAATAATTTCTGTTGCTGATGTCAAGGCTCAACTCCTGGCAAATAATGACTTACTTAAGGCCATTGTTCGCACACTCATTGTAATCGCCAATAAGGGCAAGGATGATCCTCCAATCAATACAACAACTATTAAAGATATTCTACTGGAGAATCTTACATAATGGATATAGACTCCAATATACAATCTCAGCTATGCATTGCTCAGTTTAATATACAAAGTGTATACAGTAAAAAGCCCTTACTCTTAAAGTTTCTTAATGATTAAAATATTGATATTTGCCTTTTAAATGAAACGTGGATTAAAGATAACAAACCTTTCCACATTCCTGAATATAATATACATTTCAAAAATGCAGCTAATGAACATGGGGGAATAGCTATCCTCATAAAACATAATTTAAAGTATACAACTTTACAAACCACATTTTATGAAGATGTACAAACTGTTGCAATTTCTCTTTCTACAGAGTTAGGTGACTTATCTATTTTGACTGTGTATTGTCCACCACACAGTGGCCATACTAGATTAAACAAATTGAGAAATATCATAAAAGAACTGCCCAAGCCAGTGTTCATTTCAGGAGACTTTAATGCTCATCATATTGCTTTTGGCTGTGTAAGCACCAAGGGCAGAGGGCAGCAACTATATGATATAATTGATGAGTTGGATCTATGCTTGTTGAATGATGGCAGTTTCACAACAAATAATCGGCCTAATTGTAACCCATCAGCTATTGATATCACTTTTACAAGTGCAGTTTTAGCACCACTGTGTGATTGGACTGTACATGATGACAGTATGGGTAGTTATCATTTCCCTACAATTACAAATCTTACTTTAGCTGTTAATAAATATCAAACAAATCCTCCAATAGAGAAATTTTTATACAAAAAAGCAGATTGGGTGAAGTACTGTGAAATATCTGAAACTTTATTTAATGATATCAATGTGGATACTGAGAACCCTTTGAAGTCATATAATACCTTCTGTAATAGACTTAGCTCTTTGAAGTTACTTTGCATCCCAAAGTATACCAAGACTAGTTCATATAGAAGTAGGCCACCAGCGCCATGGTGGAATGAGAAGTGCGAACAAAGCGTCATTAAGTCTTATCAAGCTTTAAAATACTATAGAAGTAATCCTACAATGGATAACTACATTATATATAAGAAGTTAGACGCCTTGAAAAAGAGAACCATATCTGAAGAAAAGAAAAATGGTTGGCGCAATCTCTGTGAGTCTTTTAATAGAAATACTCCTATCAGTAAGATTTGGAACTATATTAAAATGTTTAAGGGTAGGAAAACTCATAATAAATCACTTTCTGATGAATTTGTTTTGCCATTCTTAGATAAACTATCAGATAATGGATCTGATGGTATAGTTGATGTTGATATGTATTTTAATATTAATAATGATAATAATGAGACACAGTTTTTAATTGAACCTTTTACATGGCATGAGTTTAATATGAGTCTTCATTCCCGAAAAAATTCTGCGCCTGGATTGGACAACTTTCCTTATATTTTGATAAAACATTTACATATATTGGTGCAAAAATTGTTTCTGAACATTCTTAATGCACTTTGGCTCCATCAAGTAATTCCACTGTCTTGGAAAACACAATGTGTGATACCAGTGCTTAAACCAGATAAACCAGTCAATGATGCTAACTCATATCGACCTATTTCATTATCATCCTGTCTTGGAAAAATTTTTGAGAACATGGTTAAGATTCGTCTTGATTGGTATGTGGAATCGAAGTGCATTATCCCAACTATTCAATTTGGCTTCAGAAGAGGCAGAAGTTGTGCAGACAGCTTTGTTTCGCTTATCTCAGATCTGAAAAGAGCAAGAAATAATAATGCTAGTGCAGTATGTACCTTTTTAGATGTACAGGGGGCATTTGATAATGTGCAACCTGGTATTTTGATTAAAATTCTGTCTGATTTAGGTATTCCAGGGAAATTTTGTAAATGGATATACTCTTTCTTAAATGAAAGAATACTATATGTAAAACACAATAATATTTTACATGGTCCTAGGCAAGTGTCAAAAGGAACAATGCAAGGGGCAACTTTGTCCCCATTGTTATATAATATATATACATCTCAAATTTGTAAATATGTAAATATGGATAATGTAAATATTTTGCAGTTTGCTGATGACCTTGTTGTATATAGTGTACATAATGATATTGATTTGGCAATTGCTAATATTAATAATGCTCTTAGTCAATTATATCACTACTACAACAATAAACTTCGATTAAATATCAATCCCAACAAAAGTAATGTAATGTTTATAACAAAAGATTTACCTAGCTTGTCTGTGTTATACAATGATAAAGCAATTCCTATAGTAAGCAGTCATAAATTTTTAGGTGTGCAAATTGATAATAAACTGACATTCCAAGGTCATATCAAGTACATTTTACAAAATTCTTTGAAAGGCTTAAATATCATGAGGTGTTTGGCAGGAGTCTCCTGGGGAGCCGACCCAGTTACTCTTGCTATTTTGTACAAAGCCATTGTAAGAAGCCATTTTGATTACAGTTGTCTAGCCTATATTGATTGTAATTATGTACATAGATTAGATATAGCACAAAACAAAGGTCTGAGGATAATATCTGGTGCCATGTGCTCAACTCCCATCCGTGCCATGGAAGTTGAGACAGGGGTGATGCCCCTTAGTATAAGAAGATATCTACTTGCTCAAAGATTTTCTGTAAAGCTATTTGCAGCTAATAATAATGAAGTTTTAAGAAGAATTTTACCTCAGTATCCAGTAGTTCACAATGTGTCTGGTGTGACTGGGGCTGGCCTTCACTGTCATATTATCCCAGATTTATCTCAGGTTATCCTGGAAGCACATTTTAAATTTTCGAATATAATTAAAAGTTCTCATTGGGCATGTTACTCCACAAAGTACAAGATATTGTTATTTGAAGTCTCAATTATAAATACAGTAGTTAGTAATAATGAGGAGTTATTAAACTTTATTCACCTTAACAGTCACTATTATAGACTTTATACCGATGGCAGTAAGGGTTTGTCTCATGTTCGCAGTGCTGTTTATGATCCTCAAATTCAGTTTTGTCAAAGCTTTGAGCTTAGTCTTTTATGTAGCATATTCACTGCAGAGGCTTATGCAGTTCTTGAGGCCCTTAAAAAAAATTTCATCAATGCATTACACAACCTATTTAATTTTGACTGACTCTTTAAGTGTGATTAAAGCATTAGAGAATATTAATTTTCATTTCAAAACAAATTATCTTCTAATTAAGATTCGAGAAGTTTTATTTAATTTAAAAAATAAAGGCATTTCAGTTTCTTTTATGTGGATCCCTTCACATAAAGGTATTACTGGCAATGAAATCGCTGATAGAGCATTTGATGGGATAAATTGTATAAATGTATCTAATATTGTAAAGGTACCTTTTACGGACTGCTATGCACTGATTAGAGAAAACATAAAACATGTATGGAAAGACTTCTGGAAGAAAGACCAAGAAGAAAAAGGAAAGTGGTACGGTACTATTCAATCGGACTTACCTGTGAGACCGTGGTATGACCAAAAGCAATACAAGTACGCCAGACGAGATTTTATATCTACTATATGCAGGCTTCGATTCGGACATCATAGAACACCCGCACACCTTGCAAGACTCAAACTTGATGCAAATGACAAGTGCTTGAATTGTAACGTCTTATGTGACATTAGTCACATAGTGTTGGTATGCAGTGACTACAACATGCAAAGGTTGATTTTAGCCAGTGAACTAAGTGAAATTGTAGATAATGTTTCCTCCCGCCGCCTAGAAGATCTACTACGTGATCCAAAGTGTTTAGTGCCGTTATACAATTTCATTAAAAATACTCTGGAAAGTATATAATAACATAAAACCGAGTAAATTAAAAGACTTGGCTTAAAGGACTCGTAACTAGGCCATAAACTCCAAAAAAAAAAAAAAATATATTTTCTATCTCAATGATTTGTATGGAACGAACTATATCTTTAATTTAAAGTTATTTCCAAATATATAAAAATAAAAAAAATATAAATATATAAACCAAATAATCCAAATATATATATAAACGTAGTGGTTACATACTCTTTGGTTATTTCAATTGACTTTAAAAAAGATAGTAGTGCAATACAAATACCTATTATAATAATAGGATTAAGTCTCAACTTAATAAAGCTAACCAAATTTTTAGCAGAACATTGCTACAAACATTAGTAATAATTTCTTTTGCAACATTTAAAAAATATGTCGGATGTTCTCAGGCCCCAATTGAAATGGATCGAGGGCCGATGTTACAGGGTTAATGATCCTGCGGTTGATACAACAACTTTTCATGAGCATGACTTGTATGAAAATGGTAATTTGAATTTCTAACAATAAGTCTAATATAGCACAAGTTCAAGTAATTTAGTAGTACTGTTGTATTGATTATGTAGCGGTATTTTAATAAGTATATCAATTTGTTGTTAAATGTTCGCATGATACCAAATAAAAGCAAATTTGTATAGCAACAATATAAGAATATTATCTCGTTCTTTTCAGATATAACTTATAATGATATGATTGATGAAGGAGATGAAGATGATTTTGAAGTTCTGAAGGTGGACAATTCACGATATACTACTAAGTTTCATGTTTCTAAGTAAGAACCCCCACATATACTTTGCAAATTCTGGACATCCATTACATTCTGATAAAGGAGAGTGAACAACTGTGGTCTAAATATCAAATACTAAAGAGACCCATGTTTATTACTAGTCAATTATATAGTACATATAGAAACTTTCAGTATGACACAAGAAAAATAAGTTGTTTGTAATAAAAATTTTGATGTTCATTCATTTTTTAAGTTCATTATAGAACAATATTAATATGTTTGTTTATTTTTTTTTCACTGACTATTTATTTAAATCCATATAAAATCGTTCACTAGTTTTAATGTGTTATTAATGATAATTAATCAATAACATCACACAAGGCTCAGATATCACAAACTTTTTTATCTTTTGTACTTTTTTAATCTTTATAACTTTGTTTTTACATGATTTGACCGAATACAATTTCTCTATTTGTAAAACATTGGGCTCATTATTAGTGTACATATAGACCAAACTGCAAGAATTTTTAGTCATTCTCCTTTGAATTTAGAAAGTAATTTGTATGAACTATATGTTATAAAAAAAAAAAACTTTTCTGGATTAAGGGTGGTGAAACAGGCCCTTAGTCCATATTCTTGGTTAAAATGACTAATTGATAATAAATACATATATTCAAACTAAACATTTCAGACACTACTTTGGATCAATAATTGGCAAAAAAGGTGCAACTAGGATGAGACTTGAGAGAGATACCAAGACAAACATCAAGATACCAAGACCAGGCCAGGATGGTGATGTTGTTATATTGGGGCCCACAGAACAGGTTTAATATATATTTTTTTTTAAATAAGGTAGCAGGTTTTCAGTAAAGACAAATATGAGCATGTTTCTATAAACAAAATTGTCTAAATTAACCCTGTCATGATCCATAGGGATCATTTAGTAAAAGAAATTAAAAGTCCTAATTGAAGGCCTAATTGGGTAGTTTCCTAACCAGTTTTTCAAAAATAAATTAATTGGATGTTTCAATACAATAAAATATTAAAAAATAACTATATTTTTATTCATCAATTGATGATACTAAGTTTAAGATATTTTTTAGCTAATTATTAAGAAAAAAGTAAGCTATTTGATGCAAAGATGCAATGTTGTCATAATTCAGTATTGTGTTTTCTTACCAAGTAACTAGTACTTTGGTTAATTGGGCCCATTTCTGCCAAAGAATGGCTCTTCTACCACCTCTGGGATTGCAGGCACTTACAAAATCTATTTTTTTTTATTAATGGAAGATGTAATGCAGATTCACTAAGCAAAAACACTATTCTTTTGATTTTTCTAAATTTTTCCTTGAGAATGCTCAGCAAGCGTCCCTTTAAAACGTAAAACCATTCAATTAAAATTGTATTCTGTGCTTGAGCCACACCAGGTATTCATTTAAGTTGTAGACAGAGAAAAGAATAGACAAGCTATTAAAATAATTATAATGATTAGAGCGAGAAAGTGCAAATGAAATATATGTAGGTGTGAGCAAGACAAAACATGTTTCTTGTCCCTTTTTAGCATATAGCTTTATTTTGATTGCCACCAGTGTCGTTGGTGGCAGACATTGAATAGTGTCAAAGTAGTTTTGCGTTTTGTTTTGTGTAATTGTTTTCAAATTATGCTTTATTTTATTCGAACCAATATGTTTGCAATTAAGGTAAATTGCAGTAAAATTGGCTGTAAAAGCGCGAGAATCATAAAAGTTTGGATGCCTTTTAATCATGAAATGAGACCATGTCATACCATGTAATTTATTTTTGAACTTGGTTATTATCATAAATGTGCTCATGTAATCAATATGAATTAGTCTAGTTTGTATATGTGTCAGCTTTGAGCTCAGTCCAAAGACTTATTAAGGATGGCAAAGGGATTGGATCGCTTGATTCTCTGCAGTATCAGTTAGGTGTGTCAAGTCCATGAGTGGGTGCCATCAGTAAAGTGTATAAACTGTATTAAGTTAAATATTATATATATTATGTTGTAATCCTAGTCGTTGTGTGCCATTACTTGCCTCCTATAATATTACAAATAAAATATTATTGTGTTATTACAGAGTGTAAAGACAGCAAGAAGGAGAATAAACATGATAGTGGTGTCAACCAGGATGAAACAAAAATTTACACATTTTATATCAATTCCTATGAACGATCCTGACGTTCAGAAGAGGTTTGAAGAATTTAGGGTAGTATAATTATTACTGAAACAAATATAAATAGTCTGTAGATTCATAAGCTCATGAGAAATATTATTTTTTTACGTTTTAGGAAAGAGTTTTGCAAGAATGCCCTAGTCGCGGTCTGGAAAGGTCTTTATTTATCCTGCCCAGTAAGTTGCATCTTACAGTTGGTGTTATGTGCTTGATGGACAATGAGGAGAGGTTGTTTGCATCCAAGCTACTTACTGAAGCTAAAGAGAAAATTATCATGTAAGAATATTAAATATTTCTTCTATTATTATAAAACTAGCTGTGTTCGCGAGTAATGTATTTATTTTTGTGCGACGCGCTGCTGGATGAAGCCTGTACAAAAATATTTTTTGTTACTTCTTTCTTCTTAACAACATAGCATTACGTATCGTTGACCGAACGTCGCATCATAAGCGAGCGCGATACGAACTCCCCCTTTATTACTTTTCTCTTTGGATACGATGACGCTTAGCGCTATCCATCGATAAGTACCTACAGTCGTACCAACTTATCTGAGAACTGAGTGGTGGCGACACCGTCGCTTTAATGTTGCAAATTAATAAAAAATACCCATGATTGGGTATATCAGATAAGAAACGAGGTAAATATATTTTATTATTTAAAAAATACCATTTTTTTATAATAATAACATGCTAATATGAGTCTATGCTAGTAATAGTCCTCAAAAACAAGAAAATTGATGGAAGTAGATACAGTTAGTACTTTTTCTTTGGTGTTCAAGTGATATATTGAAGGTATCTCGGTCATAAACTATATTATTGTGTTTATCAAGGTAGATCAAAATTTGATAACTTGCAAATTAAAGTTTTTAAACATATTAAAAAAAAAGGAAATTCATTCAGATTTAGCAGATGTAAGGTTGACAAAAAAACACAGTTTTGTACTAGCCCTCTCTAATTAAACAAAATTCAAATATCTAGACACTCGAGTAAGAAGTCATCAACCCACAGTAAGACACGTGCATCCCTTAACAATTTATGCGAATGGTAAACAAAAGTTTGCTTAATAATTTATTAGAATAATTGTGATTTTTTGATGAATTTGTACACCCAACTTTATCTAGGCTGTGAGGCCATATGCCGCTTATATCCGTGTCATCATTATCAAAACTCATATTGTGGAGCAGCTTTCGTAGAGTTTTGCTTTTATTAGAGTAAAATTCATGATCTTCCCTCCGGATAACTACCATGTCAAAATCATCAGCACGAATAAGCCCACTTTGACGTTTCCTCTCCTTTCCTGGGGCTTAAATTTAGCAGCTTCTTAGCTGCTACAAAAATCTGAAGCTGCTGCAGAAGACTGCAGCATGTCTTTCTTTAAATATTTTTGAAATTAGCCCTTGACTCACACCTGAAATAGACAAAATTATTGAAGTATTTACATACTGTAAATGGTAAATGTAACTATAAGTAACAAAGCTCACGATAAAAAGTAATCAATAAAAAAATATCGGGTAATTTACAAAAACACAGTAGGCAACACTAACCTGTAGAAATTCGTTTGTTTACTTTATTAAATGGAGTAATGAGAGCCTCCACCCGAGCTTATCCTTCAAAAAAGGCTTCAACGTTAAGAATAATGCTTCGTTCATCACTTTAAATTGCTTTCGGAGTATTATACGCTGAAAATGTAGAAATATCGCAACAGAAATCACACAGTAGCCGAAAGTAGTAGACACTGTCAATCGAATGACATTTCAACATGGCGGCCGTAGTTCCCATTTTCTCCATTTCACAGATAACTTGGTACTACTGTAGCTGAACTAAAACGTATGAAATTATATACTTTAGAATACATTTCAATTTCTTATCATAAATATTACAAATTACACATGGGTTAATATTAAGAATAAGATTATATTACTTTCTTACTAAAATAAAAATAATGTTAAATCTTGCATTATTTTTTTCAGGCCAATATTGCAAAGTCATTTGCCATTAAAGATCAGATTAAAAGGATTGTCATACATGAATGATGATCCTTCACAGATTGATGTTCTCTATGGACTTGTCCAAGAAGAGGGAAGCTCACAAGGTGTTATACAACAGATAGCAGACGGTCTAGTACAACATTTCTACAAAGCAGGTGATCACTGAAAATGATTTTGTGTACTTAAATTTAAATAACTTATCTGACTGCGTCAGACCAAGATTTATTGCTTCAGTTGTCGCAAGCACGATTGCCGAGCAAAGAGGTGTCGAGTTAGATTCTCGGGTTGATCTAAGTAATTCAGTATTTCTCAACAACAGCAGGAATCTAGACGTCGTTGTCGATTAATATGGCTATAAGTACGCCCCAATTATACTGTGATAAAATAACTGTCGAAAATTTAATTTATGTATACCCCTTCAGAAAATTTATGGCAAGATGTCCTGTTATGTAAAATATGGTAATCTACTTCTAAGTTATGTATCTGTGCACCAGTCGTTACTGGACACTGTACCTACAGTAATTCTTAAAATAAGCTCCGTAATGATAATAAATTAAGAATATTGGCCTGGTGTATGCAAATGGAATGGAACTAAAAAGAAATCACGTCTCTGTGGTCACTTTCCAAAAATAACTGATATTATAATTCATTGCAGGATTTGTGAAGGACAGTGAATATGAAAGAGGGAACGTAAAACTGCATGTTACACTAATCAATACAAGGTACAGGGAAGATCCAGATGATACAAATTTGGAAAATGACGAGACGAAGTCTCAAAACACGAAGAAACAGAGGGAAACTTTTGATGGTAGAGATGTGCTTCAAAAATTTGCTGACTACGACTTTGGAACAGTCGAGTTCACGTCTGTTCACCTGTCACAGCCCAGAGTGGCATTGGGCCCTGATGGATATTATCCACCTACTTGTATTGTCTCGTGGCAGTAGACACGTGTATTTTTTGTTTATATTTATAACAATAAATTAATAATTTTCTACATATCAAGAACCTATTTTGTTTTATTTCAAACTATGAGATATCATAGGTTAATAGTGGGACCCTTTATAGAAGAGAACTAACACGTTAGACCACCATAGTTGCAATCCAACTGCGCGGATGTTTAGCCGAGGTTGCGTTGAAAATGAAGTACCACGACTGCTTAACCTTTTACCATTAAAAAAACGAAAAGATTTAAGAAAATCACAAAAAATACGTGTAACCAGTAGCCTTTTTGAAAAGTCGAAGTGTAGGTAGGAAATTTTTGACTAAGCATAAAACTACGTAATTATTTGAATAAGTATTCACAACCATATTTATAAGTAGGTATATAAGGTTTTTCAACGGATGGTATTTTTTTTGGCTGTATTATTCCTTTAAATTTGCAAATAAGTTGAAGAATTAGGTTTCAATTAGATGAACTTAGTTAATCAGTCTCTACTACTTGCAAAAGTATACATTTCTGCCTAAGGCTTCATAGCTGTGGCGTATTGAATAAATTATATATATACTTACAGACCATCATACTAAAAGAACATTTAAATCGGTCAAGTCTAGGAGGAGTTCAATGACATACACACGCACAGCAGAATCAATAAGTATACTTAATAAAACTAGCTTCGCCCGCAGCTTCACCTGCATGGTACTTAATAAAAAATAATAAGTATCCCTATGACCTATCCCGGAGTGTATCCTACGCCTGTGCAAAATTTCATCCAGATCCGTCCAGCCGTTTTGTCGTGATTGACTTATAATCATCCAAACATCGTAACTTTCTTATTTATAGGTAATATTAGTAAGATTGTAAAAGGTCGGTGTCTGTACATAGAAGATAAATAAGAAAACCTTTACGAGGGGAATTTTATATACGCAATAGAACCCAAAACAATAATTTTAAGAGTTTTTGTTTGTCTGTACCTACGTTTCAGTGTTGCGTGGCTTTATGTTGTTTTGTTCATAATTTTTTTTACGCAATATATTGGCATACGAGCATACGGATTACCTGATGGTAAGCAATCAGCGCCGCCCATGGACACCCGCAATTCCATTCCCGCGGACCCATTCATGCCGAAGCATGGCTCTCCCACACTTAAAATTTATAATAATCCCAAATTAAAAAGTTATGTCAATCTAAAGACAGGGATAGGGCACACGCTCCGAAGGGGTCCCGACCACATACCCAAGCTAGCCATGGACTGGAAACCCCAAGGGAAAAGAAAGCGTGGCCGTCCACGGCAAACCTGGCGTCGCACCGTACTGGCAGAAGCGACGAGCATCGGTATAACGTGGAGTGAGGTGAAGCGTGAAGCTCAAGACAGATCGCGATCGCGATCGCGAACTTCAGTGGACGCCCTCTGCCCCATCTAGGGGACACAGGATATTAAGTAAGTCAATCTAAAGAATTGCATCATCACATCAAAATAGTTTAATATTAACACGTAGTAATTACTTTGTGAATTAGGTATTTATTATCTTGCTGCATGGCGCGGCGTCGAAAAGGTGCATGCATTCTTAGCGTATTTTTTGTATAAGTTGTGTGTGTGTTTACATACTGATTTCTATCATTCTTTTTTATTAAATTTTTATTATTTTAAACTTTTTTTTATTAGGGACTAGCTACTCTCGCGCGGTTTCACCCGCTGCTCGGCTCCATGTTATCGTAGCGTGATGTTTTATATCCTATAGCACTCAGGAACATTGTAGCTATCTATCAGTGAAAGAATTTTGGCAATCCGACCAGCGGTTCCAAAGATTACTCCCTACATACAAACTTACAACTTTTACCTCTTTATAATATTAGTATAGATAATTGAGAGCATTTAAGAAGTAAGAGTAAACAAATATGTATAATCAGAATGCTCCGAATTACTAAGCTATCAGGAGTTACACATGTTATAATGAGTCAACCATAAAAGATAGACATTTGCTGTTGCAGAATATTTTTAGATAATTTTATGTAGAACATTTCCGTGATACGTGATTCTTTTGTGATAATTAACATCATCATCATCATCATCATCATCAGCCTATAAGTGCCCACTGCTGAGCAAAGGCCTCTTCTCATACGGAGAAGGTTAGAGCATTAATCAGCACGCTTGCTCAATGCGAGTTGGCGATTTCAAACTTATAATTAGAAATTATATGTCCAGGTTTTTTCACGATGTTTACCTTCACCGTATGTCAGTGGTGTCTAAATAATCATAGAAAGTACATATAACTCGGAAAAAGTCATATTGGTACTTGCCAGGTTTCGAACCCACGCCCTCATGCATGAGAAGCGGGCTCCTTAACCTCCGGGCCACTTATAAAATAGAGTAACTTCTCCCGTTTTCCAGAGATTTCCACACTGCTCTGTTCCTATTAATTGAAGCGTAATGAAGAGTATGCCATAACTTACCCAGGAATATGAAATATAATTGTAACAAGTTTCGTTAAAATCTGTCGGGTAGTTTTTGTGTCTACTAGAAACATACAGACAGATAGACAGATAATTTTTTTATAGATTGCATTTTTGGCATCAGTATCGATCATTAACTACGCCCCTTTTTTGTGAGGGGTAAATCCTCAAATGATTTCTCCCACCCAGGGCCGGGTGGGTGTCAGAGTTAGATTCTTACTGACTAAAAACCCCCCTATTCCTTCTCCCGCTTTGGGCCGAGGTCGCGGTGCCTCATTGCGCTTACCCCGCAACCCCGACTGAACATCAGCGCTGTAGGGCCCCGTTTATGGTGGTCTATTGGCTCTTTGAGGCGCGCGCCGTACGCTCGGGTCTGTTTCTGGTCGGGCGGCGAGTTGCCCTTACTCGCCGTCCGCAGACCCGCGCACTTATCACCCCCTGATACTATTTTAAAAATATATTTGTATAGTATTGAGCTATGTACAGAATTGACCTTTCTACAAATTTATTTTATGTATCTATGTATAAATAGATATTATGACATTATGGACATTACAATGAACAACAAAAACTTATATACATATGTTACATACTGGTTCGTAAAACTTCATGGGCCAATCCGGCTCATACATGGTCACTTATTTCACTATTTACTTTTCTATATTTATAAGTATTCATCGTAATTTGACAATATTCAAAACAATTTTTTTAAACTAGTCGAATTTCGTAATTAAATTATCAAATGTAAAATACAGACAACAAACCGATTACTACGTCGGTGCCGTAGCTTTCCGTAGCAACGCGTTTACAAAACTTGATAATTATTTTGAAAAGGAAAAGGCTCGCAGTTACATATTATTATAGCGGTTGGCTGGCTAGGAAGTAGTGTACGCGGGCGGGGCGACCCGGCGGGCTAACGTCACACTCAGTCCTTCAGTAGGGGCGCATTGGCTACGTGATGCGCCCGCCCTGCGCTGCTCCGCGGCAACTCTACTCGCATTACGACTCCGACTGAACCTTCTCGTGTTTGTGTACTTACAACGGATTTCTCAGAAACATGTAAGTGCTTTTCATTTTGTGCATTCATTTAATACATTTCGAAAATCGAACATTTTTATTTAGTTCACTGTCGTTTTAAGATTTTTCAAGTTTTCATGCACTTTTTTGTTCTTTAAGTCTATATTAATGACGCATAGACTAACATCGATAAAAGATATTTTTTTTAAGTTTTCACTTAAATTATATAATAATTACATAATCACAGTTTTCTTTAAATTTTGATGATGAAGGATGATTGCTATGTTGTTAAGAATTAAAAATAAACAGTTAAGTGAAAGATTTTTATGGGTCCTACTTTGGCAGTCACCCCTCCCCTAGATTATAAATCTCTAGTCTGGCCGGTACTCGTGGGGTACACGTTTAATTTGCATATATTTATGAGTAAAGTTGCGCAGATATTATTGCAAGTAGCAAGTTCTTATATAATTGAGATTACCATTTTCATAATAAGCATATGATATGAAACGGAATATCATTGCTTGACGTAAATTACAGTCCTTTACAATATTATAACCCCTTATCCGATAGATTGTAATGTGGATTCACTATAACTAGGTTCTTCTGCTCATTAGGTACAACCGAATCGTTCCGCTTTTAAAAAACATTGAAGTATAGAATGGAATAAATCTTGTATAATAAAATAGATATTCATTATGCCAAATGTAGGTATTGAAGGAATATTATGTGATGGCCTTCAATGATGGATGTTATAGTCTTTAAGACTCATAGTACCTAGATATTGGAAGACAAAATATTTTATTAAAAGATTACTTGGTTTCCTTTAATTTGGTCCTTGGTGCTTATAATTAATATAATAATTCAAACCTCTATTATTTAATGAAGTGTAGGTAGGTATCACAGTTATATAAAATGTACTCTGTGGGTACATGAATGTAAAACATCCTACAAATCCTACTATCCTACTACTATTATAAAGGTGAAAGTTTGTAAGTATGGATGTATGGATGTTTCACGTAAAAACTACTGAATGGATTTGAATGAAACTTTACCACAATATAGCTTATCCATCAGAATAACACATAGGCTACAATTTTTGAGACTTCCAAAGTTTTTTTTTTACTTTTCCAAAGCGAAGAATCTGCATGTTTATGCTGAAGGAAAAAGATCGTTAAATGTAGTTTATAGGAGCATACTGCAGTAGCTACCCATAGACCTACTACGATTAGGGCTCTGCAGTGCTTAGTTACCGTATTTCTTACTTATTACTAGACTAGACGGGACGAACCTGAAGTCCACGCGAACGAAGTCGCGGGCAAAAGCTGGTAATGAAATAAAATAAGAAAAAAAATATATCTGTAGTTAAAAGTTTCTATTTTAAATTAATTTACGACCGTCATGACGAACCTATACCATCATTAATTATAAAAGATAGTTTGTCGTACACTGCGTCATTGTTGTGGCAATTTGATACAAGCTTTCGAATAGGGAGTTCATTGAACTGTTGAGTCAAAAGTATTGTATGGGTTCCAGTATCTCACATTATACTGCAGAGGTGTGAAACCGTCCTTAGGATCGATAAGTAGGAAATAATTGT